CGGGGGGGGGAGCATTGCTGCTGGGCTGGGAACCGCCCCCCCACTGCTCGCGGGGGGGAGCATTGCTGCTGGGCTGGGAACCGCCCCCACTGCTCCGGGGGGGGGAGGGTTGGACTGGGGGGGACCCCCATTGCTGCTGGGCTAGGCCTGTGGGCAGGACCCCGCCCCCGCTCCGGGGCTGGGGTCTCAGCTGGAGCTGGGGGTGTTGCACTCCTGGAACGGGCAGGGACCTGGTGTCTCCGGGGCCGGGCAGGAGCAGGTCCTGCTGAGCTGGGGCGGTCCTGTGGGGCTCACGTCTCCTCTCCCCCCAGAGCTCCGTCTCCCTGAGCAGCGAGTTTGACCTGTCAGACACGTCATTCGGCAGCTTTAGCCTGCGCAAGTCGTCGGACCCGCTGCCTGAGGCCTTGGCCGGGCCGGAGCTGCCCCCCGTGGAGGTGAGCCCCCCCCCCCCCCCGGAGCCGGGCCAGGCTTCCCCCCGGGACCTGCCTGAGGCCGTCTGCGCTGGGTGGGGGTCCCGTAGCCATGGGGCTGTGGGGCGCCATCCCAGCTGGGGGGTAGCGAGGGGCTCTGACAGCGACCCCCCCACGGCCCAGTGAGGGGCCCTGTGATCCTGGAGAGGGGAGGCAGCGACCATGGGGGCTGACCCGAGTCCCCTGTCCCCTGGGGAGAGCTGGGGGGGGGGGCAGGAGTGTGGGGGTGGGGGTGAGCCGCGGCCCCCCCCCCCCCCAGATCCGTCTCTCCAGCTGCTCACGGTGCCACACGTGCGGCTCCCTGGTGCACGACGAGGAGGTGATGGCCGGCTGGACGCCTGACGACTCCAACCTCAACACGACCTGCCCCTTCTGCACCCGCCCCTTCGTGCCCTTGCTCAGCATCGAGATCCAGGACTTCCAGCAGCCCCCCAGGTGAGACCCCGCCCGCGGGGGGACCCCCTGCTGCCCCCCCGCCCTCATTGGGAAACTGCCCTGCAGCTCTCCTGTCCTTGGGGGGACCCCCTGCCGTGCCATGCTCTGCCCTCTGAAGTCTGGGGGGCGGGGTGTCTTGGGGGGGCGATGGGCGGGGGGGTGACCCGGGGGGTGGGCTCACATCATTCAGGGGTATGGATCCTGCCTCGTTCTGGGATCTCGCCGTCCCCCTCACGCCGTTGTCATGGGAACCGTTGGGCGGGGGCTGGCTGATGGGGGGCGGGCGTGTCCCCCCGGGCGTGGAGGCCGGTGCCGAGCAGCCCAGCAGTAACCTGCCCCCTCCCCGCTCCCTCCGCAGCTCCTCGGAGTCTCCCCAGAGCCGCAGGGAGCAGCCGCCTGCCGGGCGGGGCCCGGTGCTCAGCGACCGCTCCCAGTGCCTGGCTCTGGATGAGGCCGAGCCGGAGCCGGGGATCCCCCCATCGCTCTGCAACGGCTGCACGGACTCCTCGGTACGGCGCCTCCCCCGCCCCCAGCAGCTGAGCGAGGCTCCCTCCGGAGCCGCCAGAAGGGGGCGCTGCGGGCATGGTCTCCAGAGCCCCACGGTCCTGACTCCGCCAGGCACCTGGCTGCAGTGCCCAAGGATTACCCGCCCCTGCCCGAGCGCCGGGCGGGGGCTGCGGGTCGGGAGTGAGGGGC